GGTAGCGCGGCGAGTACAGGGGGAGAGTTCGGGGATGAGAGTTGGGGAAGGGGAGTGACGACGGGGGTTACAATTTGGGGACGAGAGTGGGATCGGTAGGGGGTGGAGTTAGGTTGGGTTGGTATCGGGGTGAGATTGGGATGGAATCGAGTTACGATTGGGACGGGAGCGGGATAAGTTTGGGTTGGGATCGGGATGGGGGCTGGGATGGAAGAGGTTGAGATTCGGGTGAGATGAGGTAAGATTACGATGCGGATCGGGCTGGAGTCGAGGTAGAATCAGGTGGCATTCGAATTGTTTTCGGGATGTGGACCCGGATGGAACAACGTGGGCGCAAGGTGGAAAACACTTCGGAAAAAAGGGGGGGGCTTGAGATTGGAGCCCAATTCGGGGGAATGTGAAAAGCGATCAGCGAAGGGTGAGGGTCGGGTCGAGACCAGGTTAAGTTCGGGATGTATTCAGGTTAGGGACGGGATGGTAGGGTCGGAATGGAGACGGGATGGGGTCAGAGTAAGATGGGTTAGTTATATTTCAGAAGGAAGCCGTGGTTGGGGGCGATGCTGGGGTTGGATGGGATCAGGATTGGGGAAGAGAGGAGAGGAGAATGGGGGCAGGGTTGGGGTCGAAGTTGAGATCGGGGTCGGGGGTGGGAGGAAGGAGAACGGGATTATGAGTGATGTCGCCCTTGAAGCTTGGGGAGAGGGACGGACGCGGGTTGGATGTGAGTCGAGTTAAGCTAGGGGAGGTGGCGACTTGGAATTGAGATTGGGGCGGGATGGGGTCAGGACCAGGTCGGATAACGGGATTGGTGGGGGTATCAGGAACGCTGTGTGGGGGGGGGGACGGAGTCGAGATGGGGACAAGAGTGAAACGTGACGGGGAGAGATGACGGGGTCGGGATGGAGGAGAGAGCGAAGTCGAACTGGGAGGGAGAGTGGGATGGGGTGACGGGATTGGGACAAGATATTGGATTGGTCAGCGGGGGGGAGGAAACGGGATCGGGGTGGAGGTATAGGGGATGAGAAGGGAGATAGTCGATATGGGGGAATAAGAATGGGATCCGGTATTTGGATGGGGTTGGGTTGGATACGGTTGATGGTTTCCGGAACGGAAAGTGGGTCGTAGACGGGGACCAGGGACAGGCAAGGCGGAAGTGTAAAAAAAAACAACAACGAGAATTTGCGGAGGCAGAGTGTAGGCGGGGGATTTGGACTAATCGAAGGGGAGGTAGGAGTCGGGATTGGGACTGAGAGATGGAGTGTATGGTGGGAGAGTATGAGAYGGAGTCGGGATAGGGGCAGGGAGTGGGTTGGCCAATGGGGAGGAGGGGATCGGGGTCAGGGCTGGGCTTTGAGAGTKAAGGTGCRCAAGGGGTGAAATAAGAATGAGGTCCACGATCTGTACGAGGTTGGGATYTGGCTGGAGTTAGGCACGGAGTGGGTGAAAGACAGGATCTGAGGACTGGATYGGAGAATTGGGATGACGAATGGGTTAGGATCGGGCGAGAGTCGAGTTTGAGGATGGGGACGGGGGGGAGAAGAAGGTAATTAGTGTCTCTGGTGGAATGGGTTGAGGTCGGATCGGTGGCGCGAGCGGGATGGTAGGGACGAGCTGAGAGGGAATGGAGGTTGGTGTAGGTAGCTCTCACTCCAGTTGATCTTCGTCTTCGGCGATGAAGGCTCGGACGTGGCGATGCAAGATGTTGTAGGGATGTCTTTCTTCAGTCGAGAGGCGGGCGGTGCTTCGGTGTTCCAAGTAGTGAAAGTTCGCTCAGTACAACGTATTCCAAGACGGGCATAGTCGCTCACTCCTCGACTCAGCCTTTCTTTCCCATGGCGGACGTCGAGATAGGTGCGCGCGCTGAGCGCGCGCACTTGGTGTCAAGTGTGGATCCGGCTATGGCGGGTGTATGGTCTTCCGGCGATGGTCCGACAAGACGCCCCTGCGGGGCCAGGAGATGGCGCGACGCCCCTGCGGGGCCAGGAGATGGCGCGACGCCCCTGCGGGGCCAAGAGATGGCGCGATGCCCCTGCGGGGCCAGGATACGGCGCGACACGAGCGCAGCGTTGCGCTAACCGAGCGGCGCTAGCGCGAAAAGCGTCAGTCTCGCGTCAGTCTGGTTCCTATTCCACTGACAGTCCGGGGTTCCTCAGCATCAGTCCATGGTCCTATGGATTTTTCGCGTCAGCCCGGTTCCTATTCCCCCGGCAAGTCATAAAATTTATACATCAATTAAGAATTCACACACGCTTCCTTCCGTTTGGCCGAAGGACCCCTGAACAACATTGATTGCTCCACACTTGTGGAGGATTGACTTGCCCTGACCCTTTCTCTTCACTCAGTTCTGGTGTTCGAGTCTGCCAGATGGTGGTTAACCTTCTGGAGTGAATCCCTCAATTGACCTTTTTGCCTAAACCCTACCCATTCAGGCTTCCTGAACCTAGATTGGGATGCCTTTCGACCTTAAACCCTAAACCCTCTTTTCTGTATACAATGTTGATCGTTGTACCTCCATAGTGGGAAGTTAACTGACCGCTTGCCCAGCCTTCCTCTCTCCTCTCAGACCTGGTATCCGGGTCTGCCAGATGTAACCAAATTAC